GTGCGCTCATCCGAAGCGCGCAAACCCGCGCCTCAGAACATGCGCAAATATTAAGCTCTCTCTGAAGTATTGTGTTTAAATGGACAAATTCACACAAAAATTATGTCAAAATGCTTGGTAAGTATCCTATAGTAGACATAGCCGGCTGAACGTACTGTATCAGTGCATTCTCTTAAAGTGACAGCACTTTCTTAATATTAATCAAACAGAAACAACAAAGAAATCACTCACTGCTCTTGACTGAATAGGTTTTGTAACTTTAATAAAGATTAATCTTTCATTTATACAGTCAAATATTCAATGCTGTTTTACATTTCATTACTTTATTAAATTTCTGTACCTAAAAACTAATGTTAGACCTACCTAAAAAAAAAACTGAAAATCACTGTTTATTTTATTTGTATCTTTACTCTATTGTATTTATTTGTGCTGTTGCTTGTAGTTAGATTTTTCTTATTTTCTTTATTTTTATTTGACAGTATAGTTTTTCCCTAAACATAGCTCATACCGAACCGTACCGAAACCGTGACCCTAAAACCATGATACAAACCGAACCGTGAGTAATTTGAACCGTTCCACCCCTACACATAATACACTATCGCATTTCTATAATTCACCGTAGCCATATCCAGATCAGATGGTCACCGTAGCCACCCAGATCCAGTCCATATCCAGACCAGATGGTGGATCAGCACCTAGAGACGACCTCTACAGCCCTGAATGTCAGTGGAGACCATGTCAACTAGATGCCCCCCAGAGACAGATCTCCTGCGAAGACCTCATCACCTCAACGACCATCGGCACAAGACCACGGGAACCAGACAAGACCTCTGCACCTGTGTTGCAGCCTGGAATTAAACAACGCCATGCTGGTTTCGTCAGGCCAGAGGACAACTGGCCCCCTGACTGAGCCTGATTTCTCCCAAAGTTTTTTCTCAATTTCTGTCACCAATGAAGTTTTGGTTCCTTGCCACTGTCGCCTTTGGCTTGCTTAGTTGGGGACGCTTTACTGATTGCACAGACACTATTGGAAGAGAGCTGATCTGGATTATGATATCACTGAATCATCAATGAACTGACTTTAGCTGGAAAAATGACTCTGCTATTGTCTTCTTGCATTATTGACATTTCCTGTTTGACACAGTAAAGCTGCTTTGACACAACCAGTATTGTAAAAAGCGCTATACAAATAAAGGTGCATAACTGTTGATCAGTTAGGTACAAAGAAAAAAATGTTTAAAACAGAAAAGATGCTGGTAATTGTTTGCCAGGACAATATCAGGTAACTTTACAGGCATTTCCTGTAACCCTAAAACACAAAATACAATGTGTAATTTAAAATACAGCTAAAACACCTGTGAAAAATCCATACAGAAAATTTCTTCATACAAAAACTGTACATTGTGCCACATTTTTACAGACTTGTTTTGCATCTAAAGTTGCGAGATGCAGCGGTCAGGAATGGTTTTAAAAAAGCGCAGCGCAGAATGCGAGGGTCTCGAGATGCGCTTTTGTGACGTGATGCATTAACTCCATTTCCACAAGACGTGTATCGTGTATTTATTCAGCGCTTTATGCAATGCAGATTGCTCCAATCTTAGCTTCTCAGTAATAAAATAACCAATAACCATGTTAATGTTGAAAAATTCATTAAATATGAAACTTTAATTTCAGCTGTAAACCATCTCTACAAAAGTCAGTTCCATGTTGATTCAATTCTGTTCAATAACAGTGTAGATGTACGACAACTCCCATGATTCCACACTCAGTCACGGCATCATCAAACTACGCCTTTGTCTATTTGTTTATTTTGAATATGCGCCCTCTAGCGGTGAAAATTACATATTGTGCCTTTAACTAGCACAATATATATATATATATATATATATATATATATATATACACACACAGCCAACTTACCTCTGTCCCAGGACAGTTTTCCGGCATCCCTCCTCCACCCCATCTCCTTACTATTAAACTATTCTCATCCCATACTAGGGATTGGGGGAGTTCTCTGGGTTTGGGCTATAGTCTGAGCTCGGAGCCACCCCTTAAAACAGAACGCCAAATATGCTTACAATTTGCTCAATCCAATTATATGTAAGTGCAAACTCGTGAAATCAATGGTGTCATTATTCAGCTCAATTTATTTCAGTGTTGATTCAATTCAGTTCTCCTCTGGCCACAGTCACTTTTGGCTTGCTCACTGGGGGCTTTAGGAAATGAAGGCACACATTTCTATAAATCTGATTAGGAAATATATTGTGGAAAGAAATGAAAATAAACCAAAAATGTTGTCAGTTTTGTAAACCCTAAAATTCTAATGAAAAAGTTTCCAGCACTGACCTGTTGTGTTCGCAATGATTCCAGTTCTCTCTCCAGGTGAGTACGTAGACGTTGTTCCAGCTGCTCACGTTTCTCACATGCGATCTGGAGTTGTGCTAGTGCCTGCTGCAACCGCTCCACCCGCTCCACATACTTCTGCTTTTTACTCAACTACAGCACACAGACAGATTGAAGAGAGATTTACTTGAGATGACTGACACTGTTTAGTGGTTGTTTTATATCAGGTCACTCCTTAATCCAAATCATCAACATAAATTATTAATAATTATTCAATTAATTCAATGAATAATTATTTCATAATCCTCATTAAAGTATGTGGCTGTATTGTAAAGATAGGAGATAAAAAGTTTAATTGATCTATTGCTACGGGCCCATTCAATATAATATAACAAACTCTCTGTCTAGGGATAAAAAAACAAATACTGGTTCTTGCCCGTAGCCTAAAATCTACATAAAATCCTGTGGATGTCTGTCCAAGTCCAGGATGTAATTTTATTTGTGTAGCACTTTTCACAAGACACACAACGATGAGTTGCAGGATTTATGACGTGAACAGTGTGACAGGTCAGTCAAAGTGGACTGAGGCTTGGTGTCTTCTCACTTTATATTTTTCCTATTCATTCTCAATTACACTCCACCAAACCCATGCCACATATAGGGGGTTTATTTAAAACTTACTGGGCTCATGGGAGACAAGAGAAATGCTGCTTCCTTCTAAAACTTTAGCCACTGGTGTTATTATTGGACAGTGTCATTTTTTTAAATGAATGATTTATACACTGTTTGATGTCACATTTCATAAGATTTGCTTTGCTTTATTTTTGTAATATGGATTAATTTCTTACATTTTTTTTTTCCTTTTCTAAAATAGAAAGATGAGTTTTAAGGGATAAAATAAATGACTGTAGGGGGACTTTAAACCTTCAAATGACACACAGCTCATATTTTCATATCAGTAAGTTACCGACACCACACATTTGCTAGATATGTGTATGAGTATGTGTAGTGTAGAGTGACTTTTTCACATTGCATGATGTGACAGACAATTAATTATCCAGTACAGTTCCACTTAATCAGTGAGATTTCACCAAAGATGAGGTTGTTGGTCCTGAAAATTTACAGTATGTGTTTGCAAACATATAAAGGACTGAAATATCCCACTGGGCTGGCATTTCTAATCATTTTAATCACAATGCTGGTATCGGTAGAATAGTTTAATTCAGTTTGTGTAAAGCCAAAGGATGGCGAAAGCAATGCCGAAGTTTGTATTTATTTAAAACTGTACCAACAATCTATTAGAGTAATCCAAAAGACTCACCTCTTCCCCTAGTTTGAGGACTTTACTCTGAGCATTATTTAAAGCCTGCTCTAAGATCTCAATGTGTCGTTGCTGATCCTCATTGGCTGATTGGAGACTGGCTGCCTCTATCTCTAATTTTTCCAGTTCTTTCAGGCTTTCTTTTCCTGAGGAAAAAAAAAGACAAAATAAAAAGGTGTTTTAGAGAACTTAAAGGGTGCTGTCATGAATCCAGTCCATGGACTTTCATCCAATGAACACAAGAGGTCGCTCTCTCACCATATTGACACTCACTCCACATAGACTGTCACACATCACTATGGACTACATCTCCCATGCTCCACTGCACTGATTGCGCACTCACCTGCATCCAATAACTCACACTATATAACACTCACTCTGATCCTGCTCTAGTCGCCGAGTATTGTTTGCGTTTATCGCTCTCCTAGTGGTAGCACATTACAGAGCCAGTTTCCTGCCCTAGTTTCTAGTCCTTACTTCCTAGTCATAGTCTTGTCTTGCCTGCTTTCCCGTGTTACCTGATTTTTACCTGTTTATCTTGGATTAACCCTTTGCCTGCTGTTTCGGATTTTGTTTGCACCTCGCCTGGACTACTGCTCGTGTTATTGGATGTCCCCTCTTGTCAAGCCCTCTGTATAACGTTCGCTGTCGACTGACTCACGCCCGGTTTGGATTACTCTTTTGTCTTGCCCTCAATATACTGGCTCGTTTGCCCCGTAACAGAATACTCGGCCTCACAAGGATCCAGCAGCTTTTCATGTGGACATTGGCCAGGTATAGACACTGCAAAACTTTTATTAGCCTTAAAGCATGGCACACGCCCGCTTGAAGGCTATATTCAAGAGTATCTGGACATTGCGTGTTATTCTGATCTGCCAGATTGTGTACAGATTTTGTACTGATAGACTTTTTTTGTGATGGAGTAAATGAACCTTTAAAGTCACGATTAACCCGTGAGGGTCCCCGTTCTTCTCTAAGCTATTTTTTGTATTTTGCTCTGCTGTGTGTCGACTCCGAATTCACGGTGGGTGTTGCGGAGAAACATGACACAGAGTCCGCTTGTGTAATTGCGGCCGCACTAGAGCACGCTCACAAAATGGTGGCGACAGCGGAGTCTGATCGTAAAATGGCGGCCACAACAGCACCCCGTTATGTCACAGCTGATCTTCATGAATCAAGTCAAGTTACCGTTGATCGTCATGAGTCAAGTCTAGTCACAGCTGAACTTCATGAGGCAAGTCAAGTCAGAGTTTATTGTCATGAGTCAAGTCAAGTCACGGCTGATCGTCATGAATCAAGTCAAATCACAGTTGAGCTTTATGAGTCCAGTCAAGTCACAGCTGATCTTCCTGAGTCAAGTCAAGTCACAGCTGATCTTGAGTCAAGTCAAGTCACAGCTGATCTTCGTGAGTCCAGTCAAGTAACAGCTGATCTTCGTGAGTCCAGTCAAGTCACTCACGGCTGATTTTCCTGAGTCAAGTCTAGGCACAGCTGATCTTCATGAGGCAAGTCAAGTCACAGTTGATCGTCATGAGTCATGTCAAGTCACAGCTGATCTGCCAGAGCCTCGTCACATCTCAGCTGTTCGTCCAGAGTCACGTCACGTCACAACTGATCTTCTAGAGTCTCGCCATTTCTCAGCTGTTCGTCCAGAGTCACGTCACATCTCAGCTATTCATCCAGAGTCCTGTCACATCACAGCTGATCATCCAGAGTCATGTCATGTCCTGTCTGTTACACCCAGATTATCAAGGTCAGCCCTTCAGTATCCCAGTCTGGTATCCAGTGTGAGGGATGCACCGCTGGTGTCTGCACGCGCAGCTGGTATCCCCAAACCCACTCACTCCAGCTGTCCTGTTCCTGAACTGATTCCCCTATCTGAAGCGCTTCCCATGATGGGAATTGCTTTTTGGTGTATTTGGGCTGCATACACTACCACAGAACCTCCCGAGGTGGAGGCGCTCGCTTCAGCTCCTTGCGTGGTGGTGGCGCCCAGCGATGCACTCTCAGCCTGTCGTGTTGCGGTCGAAGAGACCATTACTAACTTCTCCCTGTTTCCTGAAGTTACTGCTGTAGAACCTCCAGAGGTGGCGGCAACCGCTGCAGAACCTCCAGAGGTGTCAGTGGTATCCATTTACGAACTCTCTGCCTGCCCAGCCACGGCCAAGGAGGCCGTTTATGAGTTCTCGGTCTGTCCTGTCATGGTCAAAGTGACCGTTGCTGAACTCCGTACCTGTACTGTTAAGGTAAATGTTAATGAACTCTCCCTGTAATTATAACTAGTTATGATTAATTATTCATATTTCCCCATGAATGAGCTGATTCGCTACAGGAGCGTCTGGAAGCTGCTCCTTGGGGGGAGGGGGCTATGTCACGAATCCAGTCCATGGACTTTCATCCAACAGAACCCTTGCCTGTTTTATGACCACGCCTTTAAATAAAAGCTTTGCAGATGGATCCGCACGTCTCATGTCTCGTTCGCCCCGTAACAGATGCACTGTGATTTATTTTTATTTTTTTGTTTGTTTGTTTGTTTGTATGTACCTGCCAACTACACAAAGCTGCAGTGGCTACCCAGGTAAGTTTAAGTTTAGGTCGAGCAAACTTTTTTTTTTTTTTATGTCAATTTCTTAATCATCAGAAGAGTTGATTTGCTGCAGATTCAGGTGCATCACTTCATAGTTAAACATAAACTCTGAATCAATCTCCAAGTAGAGAGAATGTTTATTGCAAGCATTGTGTTCCTGTTAAACCTGATCCAAATTAGGTTGGAATTGTTTAGTTATGTCAACTTTATATTCTGTCTTCAACTAGCTTTGTGTGACAGGCCACAGTTGTACTTTGCATTGCTCTACTGTGGAAATCCGATGGTTTATGTGTAGCGTTTGGACCAATCAGACAGACATTTATTTGTTATATTCAACAAATAATCCCTAACACCCCTCACCACACCAATAAGCCAACTATGAGGGTACATGGACCCTTTCCCCGAAATGCAACAAACACCTCAAAAGGAGGAACAGGCCTCTGGTTCCATAGCACCCAAAGACAAATCATCTGATAACACTGGTTTTATTGCTCAAAGGAATGCGGGCAGAACAACTCTTACTCCATTTCCCATAGGAAAGACACATAATGCCCATAAAAATGGACTCTTCTCTAATTAATTTATAGAAAAGCCTTTCTGTGAATGAACACATCCTCAGGTCATTGTGTGTATTATTACTGTTCTTGTACATTGTATTTTGTATTGTATACTGTTTTATGGATGTGTTATGATAGATCACTGGTTAATATAACCTCACCTATACCATGTTTGGTATCTATGAGTTTGTATTTTGATTATCTAAATGAGAGTATATAATATATGTTGATACCCATGCAACATGTTAGTGTTCTAAGAATCTTTAATAGTTTTTGCATCAGCACTCAATCCAGTTACATATGCAAAATACCATGCTCGAAGAGTCCATCTGGAAGAAAACTCTCCTGACCACCACGGAGTCAGAATAACATCCTTGGAGTTCATCAACCTTCAAACCCGGAAGAACGTGATCGCGATTGCAACACCACCGAACCTTCAAACCATCAAGACTTTCATCCGGACGCTCATTCAACAGCCAAGTCAATGCAAGTATCGTACATTTAACTACACAAAATGAAAGGTTTAGTATAAGCTGTAGACCTCGTTGTAAAACGGTGCTGATGGTTTGACTCAGGTGGTTAACTGACTCCTTTTCATTGCTTCAGTCCCTGTTTCTCTAACGGTTTTATTAATTCAGTCTCATTTGCCCTTCCCCATGTATGAGTGATTGTATGCTTGTTTGTTTGTTAGGCTAGTTTGTGTTAGTGTTTAGTTAATAAAACTTGTGTGCAAAAATAACATGAGTTTCTGATTCTGTTACTGCTTGTAAATCAATGTCCCTTTTATGATCCGATCTTGTTACATGCTCTTATGCAATAATACTGTAAGAAAATATTTTCTGTGGCCAAAACTACTTGTAGTTGATACAAAACTACACTGAATGTTCGCTGGATGAACAGACTGGTTGATTGTAATATTAATTATTTTTCAATGCTATAATGATTTTATTTCATTTATTTACCTTTGTTTAGCTTGAATGTACCAATTCAGCTAAGTTGATTTTAATTAAATCTGAAATTAAATCAATTTGTTTATGTACTTTTCCTTTTAGTTTCCTAAAGCTATTAGGACATTTTCATTTTACTTTTACCTTATTTTATTTCATTTGACCATCACCATCTTCCCTCTCGGTATAGAATTATAGCAGTTCTAGCAACTGTTGTTTCCTTAATGAGCCGTACAGGTTATTAGTAGCCCTAATTGCCATCTCTTCTATAACCCTCCTTACTCCTCAGCCCCAGGCCTATTACATGAGGTACAGTTACCATTCACCATGCTGTAGGCCCCCGAGAAGACTACAAACACTTCCTATCGTTTCTGTTTATTTACCCTCAGGTGTTTGATGTGTCCCTGCTAGCTTAGCTGCAGTCTCCCTAGGTTTTAGGACCCTGCTGCAGCATTCCATTGAACAAGTGACAACTGCTTAGGCATATCTCCTAGCTTAAGTTAAATAAGGAAAGCCCGCCTTCTCCCTCTCTCTTTCTGATTTTATTTCGGTTTTGTTTTATTTGATACCCTAGTAGTGACCAAACTTGTGAACCATCAGTGCTTTGAGTAATAGCGTGACCCCACATAAAGCCCGGTCATTAGCTGACCCCTGCTTATAGCCCCATCAATAAAGTTACTCAAACCCTCTATTTGTGTTCACCAGCACAAAAATTTAGCACCTTACCTCACTAGCTGACCCTCACTGGCTATTCACACCTTACACGACCTATAGAGCCATTCCCCATACAGATAGCTTACCACCTCTGTTCGTACTTGAATTTGCCTTCTGCCTCTCTCTCAAGTTCCCACAAGTGAGCCAGCATGTCTCAGACATTCAGCTCTGCCACCCAATAGGACCACTTAGTGACCCAGCAGAGCACTGTGATGGACATCCTTCAGCCCAAAGCAGTCAACAACCTGCAACAGCAGAGAAAGTAACAGCGAGACTGTGACACAAAGTGGACACCTGACACCAAGCCAGAATCGCCAGCGGCTGACCTGCATTGTCATCTC